TAAATGTTCATTAGTCATTCAAAGATTTGTTTAAATGATATAAATGCGTATTTGCTGAATGCTGATGGCAAATGAGAAAGTATTATAATGTTTGCCTTTCTATTACTAATAATAAAGCAATCGTTATAATACTTTTTTGTATACATTTTAATTCCTTTGTTTAACAGTTCTATCTGATCATTAGATAGACTTCTATCCATATTAGACAGAACTGAACGACGACAGCGAACAAGAGGGAGAATGTGAGCGGTGTGCGCTCAGGCGCTGCCGTTCTCAGCGCCATCAAAATAAAAGTCCAGCCTCTAACAAATCGGCCAAACAGAAAAACGTATTGGCCGATGCCAATATTTGAAAAATGCCAAATATCGGCCTTGGCGATATATCGGTCGACCACTACTTTAAATCAAAACATACTCATGATTTTATGACATCAATTACTGCTTTATTTAATCAGAAACACAGTCTAAATGTTATTTGTGTATTTTACTTTCATTTTATTAAAAGTAGGCCAACAGCGCCCCCTACGGAATTAAAACTCCTTACCGAACGGACATTAGCACCCGGGGGAGGCTGCTGCCGCTGCACGTGCTATTACTGTTTACTCTATCATACACCGAACGCATCATTCTCTACGTGCTTTCTCAGTTTAAATGCAGCGATCCTACAACAGTGAATCTAATCATCATTCAGGCAAAACTTTGCTTCAAGAATGAGCCACACTGCTGACGTGATCTAATCGCTAGCACACCCTGAGCACATGTGAGTTAATGTATTCCTCTTATTAGCAAGACATTTCGGCATAATTTTTCATATCGGGCCGATGCCTATATGTACATTTCAAACCATTATCGGCCGATTCCGATATCAGTCCGATAATTTTGTGCATCCCTATTATTAACTATATAAAAAAATCTAAGCAACCATACATGTGTATCATTAACTGAAGGTAGACATTTTTAGTATTATACTAAAATACCCTTTACTAAAAATGTATGAAATACCAATTAGAGGGTAGAAGGCATGTAGAACACTTAGTACAACAGATTGTGTCCTTTTTTTGGTAATAAGTACCATCCTTGCTAAATATATTTTCTATATTAGAGGGTACTTTTTCAGAAATTCCCTTAGCTAATACAGTGAAACAAATGCACTGAAAGCTTGAATGCAGTCTGATTCAAAGCTGAACCAGCACAGAGCTCATGTTAAGCTTTGACATCACACCTTGTACACTGATGCAATCCGAATCTGTGCTTTGAAATTCTGAGCTATCTGCAATCAGAGGACTTTCCAGCATCATCCTTACATAACATAAAAGGACATTTGCAATTTATGTGGATATGAAAAACTGGACTTGATTTCGGAAGTCTGAATCATTTTGACCCATGAGCAGTTGTAAGTAGCATTGATTGGTTTATGGCAGGTGATGCTGACATGTATTGATGTTTCCAAGTGTGGGCATTTTTTTTCCTGAGGTGTTTGAAAAAGACTGATAGATTAGAAGACTTAAAATATTTAGTTTTTAATTTGTGTTGTATTTTGGAAATATCCTACTCTTTACAGTATTGCTAAATTTGCTGATGTTATTAAGTTGTTACTACTTACTAGTTAATGCTCTGTTGCACTTGGGTGCTTTGGTAAAATCTTTTGTAAAATTAAGCTATAAATTTTAAAATAGTTTGTTTTGAGATTTGCCTGTTATTTTCAGTTTTTCAGTTTGTTTTCAGTGCTTTTTTCAAAAGCAGCTTTTGAGTTCTGAGTTAATTTTATTATGATAAAGCTGTAACTTTCAAAACTCAAAACCTCTTTCTTAGTGCATATTTATTGGTCATTTATGGACTATTGACATCTTTTCAATGAATTTGAAAAGTTTTGCAGCAACAATACCTTTTTAGTGTTCAGATTCCTGACTAAGTGTAGCACCTCCAGCTCTGCACGTTTCTGAAAAATCCTTGCATTAGACATGAGTGCTGAGGTTTATTCGTAGCACTCTCTGTGATCATTTCGCACTGACCTTCATAGATCATTTCAGCATGAATTATTTTGTATCACTTTAATGGTGGATCCTGAATTAACACTGGTCATATGCAAATGAAATTGTCTTTGCAAATAAATAAAATGCTGTTACTGGCCGCCGCCTTTATAGAATTATTAATTTAATTAAATAATGCAAAAAGCATTAATGACCTTAAAAGTGGTAAACGTTTCTCATTTCACCTGCCTTTAACAGCTAAAATTTTCATAGGTCAATATTAGGGATGTAACGATTCACTCAACTCGCAATTCGATTTGATTCACGATTTTGATTTCACGATTTTTTTTAACAAAATGAGATTTAAGACAAATTATAAATTGAATGTGTCCTTTTATTATTGCTTGGACAAAATGCTGCACATTTCTTTGTGAAATTTAAATATAACACTATAATATACTAATATAGCACTTGCATATTATTGCTCTTTTGTTGGTTTTGATTGCTTCTATTGTCCTCATTTGTAAGTCGCTTTGGATAAAAGCATCTGCAAAATGCCAAAATTTAAATATAATGTAAATGTAAATAACAAAACTAAATTGAAATTTTAAAACAAGCCCCAAATCAAATAAATAAGTAACACAAATAAAGAAATCTCTTCATATAAACAAACTACGGCTTTGTCTGTGCTCTTTCCATTTAAAATGAGAGGCAACCACTGCATTTTAATCATGATCCAAACAAAGATGCTGCATACATGCAACATGAGCAGTTTTTTAATCTAAATTAGATTCTATAATTTCGAAATTTGAAGCAAAAACAGAATATTTTGGCTTCAGTTTTGTGAAACTATACATAAAAAATATCTGCATGAAACAGCAGACGAGCTGAATGAGACGCAGATTCACTCTCTGCCAGCAGGTGGCGCTTAAAGCATTTCCTTGGTTTCCGCTGTAAACAAAGCAGCGCTGCACTTATGAACTTGTATCAGAACATTATAGAGAAGCAAGATGAAAAGAAAAAATACCAGCTAAACTTTTCTAAAGACAGTAAGTTCCCCTCAGACATACATTCATATAAACTCCTACCCCTAATTGAATCGCGATTTGTTTAGCATCTCAACTGATTTGAATCACCACATATTTGAATCGATTTTCAACCAGCTCGCAGTTAATCGTTACTTCCCTAGTCAATATAATAACTGTATATCAGAGTTGTTGTCAAACTTCATGAATGACTGTATCTCATTTCACATTTATTTAAATAGCAGATTTTTAATAGTTAATGTTCACACCTATGCTTACACCTATGAATGTACTGAGAAAAATAAGTACTTGTGCAGTGTGCTGAACTGTAAAAGTAATGCATTGTGTTATAGAAGGTTACTATATTAATTTAGTACTGTGATGTGTGTATTGTTCTCTTCTGTGTCAGCATTTCTCACCACTCAGTCTTTTAGAGAAATGAAGCAGGGATCCCATGTTACATATTATGTTGTTGTATGTGAAGCCTGGCCTATAATAATCAAATACTCATGGAAACTGATGCCTTTGTTTTGTTATTTGTTCTGTATAATTCCAGTGTTATCAGTCAAGCAGGGGTTTTGTAGTCCTGCCATCTGTCATTGTACTCAGCAGTGAGTAATATAAATGGACTGCAAACATTCATTGAACTACTATTGGATTAGCCAGTGCAGAGAAAGAGAAAACTGTGTAAATAATCTAAATGTCCTGTTCCTACATATTTTAAATGAATTTGATTTTAAATTAATAAAATACACTAACGGTCTACATGTAGTTTTGTGGTGTTATATTTTATCTATCGTTCTTTCTCAGGAGGGAGACTTCACAGGCTTTAGAGTGGATGGTCAATGGTCCACGAGTTCTGGACAAGGCTCATCAAGTGAGTGTTTCAGTTGTTTCCATGTCTTAAGTATTTTGATGGTGTAAACCAGTGGTCTCAAACTCAATTCCTGGAGGGCCACAGCTCTGCAGAGTTTAGCTCCAACCAGCTCCAACTCACACCTGCTTGGAAGTTTCTAGTGATCCTGAAGAGCTTGCTTAGCTGGATCAGGTGCGTTTGATTAGGGTTGGAGCTAAACTGTGTAGAACTGTGGCCCTCCAGGAATTGAGTTTGAAACCAATGGTGTAAACTATAACAGTAATTTGGTCTCAGCTGTCCTATGTGCTGTTTTTTTATATTAAACTTGGTCATTCAAGCCAAAATGTATCCACTAAAGAAAAGTGTTTTTCTTGTATTCTGACTTTTACGGTTTATTTAGTGGGACTTGCTCAGACAGTCATCACTATTTTTATAGTACACAATAGGGATGCTCCGATCGATCGGCCGATAATCACATTTCATGACTCGATCGGTACTCACTATTTGGCCGATCTCACGAACCGATGGCAATTTGATGCCGTCAACGCCTGACCACGTACATGATGCGCGGGGACGTAAATGATTTTAAGCCACAGTCATGTCATCGCCGGTGTGGAAATGCTATGACATTTCGAGAAACAATGAAAAATTCACTATTTGTCGTGTATGTTTTGCATGATGATGAATGGATGGTTCATTTTTAACAGCAGATTCAGTGATGTTAGAGCTGATCTGCGCCTCACTGCACAAGTCTGCGGCGCGTTACGTCTCCACGGGAACCGGAGCTGATCGCGGCCGCTCTAGTCAGTGCTTGTGTTTATGCAGCCGCGGCATGTTTCTCTCTTTTGTGAGTTGGCACAGCATGGAGGACGGAACAAAACCTCGTCTGAGCCGTATCGCTGATCGTGGGCTGCTTTTAAATGAACGTTTATTTATAAAACAAAATATCTTCTTTGGCCATATTAGCCTACTCAATAGCATTAACACAGGCTTTACTCCTTTCAAACTTTATCTGGAATGTCACCGTTTCATCGGGAAGGCCCGATGAAACCGTCTATATCAGGGGTTTTCAACCTGTGGGGCGCCTGTCAAGGGGGGTGCGAGCATCAGTTAATTCAGAGACGTTCCCTTGAGAATTTATGAATGAGTTAACAAATCTTTAGCCATCCACTAGGGGGCAATCTGACTCCCACTGCTAGTCGAAAGTTAGAGCAGAGTTGGCTCGAGTATCAGTCACGCTCAGTGTTGCCAAGTCCGCAGTTTTCCCGCTGAATTGGGCTACTTTAATACTTGCCGTGTTTTGTAGTTTGGGCTAGTTTTGAGTAGCAATTAGGCGGGTTTTGTTGTGAAAACCTGGCAACCCTGGTCAAGCTTATTGACAGTAAAATGATTTACGATTAGCCATGTCGGAAATCCAACCACGGATTGGCATGTTATCTCAGAAACAGGCTCAGCCATCACATTGAATCAGGTAAACTGGTTATATATTTATGTTTCAGTATAATTACGCACGCTATACCAGGGGTGGTTCTAAACCCTTTTTAGGTGGGTTTCAGCCCCCCCAGCGCCATAGCCAGACTGGAAGTTAACTTCGGGCCAGGCGCGTGCGCCCATTGAAACCATCTATATAAAGCTTGAAGCATCAGAATCGGCATCGGTATCGGCCGATCACCATGACAAGAAATCGGTACTCGGTATCGGCTGCAAAAATCCTGATCGGAGCATCCCTAGTACACAATGTTAGTTATTCTCTGATATTTGTGTTTTTCCTTATTTATTGGTTGATGTTGGATGTTTATCGGCTGATTGGCTATATAATTGTGCATTAATTTATGCATGTGTTTACATTAAGATTACCTACACCTAATGTTTATCTTTAGTAACAGTATTATTTTAAATAACATTATTAATTATGATCTTTACAGATTTTAAAATGAAAATGTATCTTTTCATACATGGTGTTATGCCTTAATTCTAGTTTCAGCTGTTTATAAATATACAATAACTAGTGGTTCAACGGATCACAAATCTCACGGCTCGGATCACGTTACGGTTTTTGACCTACGGATCGGATCATTTTACGGATCAGCAAGAAAAGAAAAATATTTCAATTTAACTTGCTTTCCATTTATTAGATATTCTTTGTGTATATTATAGTGGTTCAACGGATCACAAATCTCACGGTTCGGATCACATTACAGTTTTTGACCCACGGATTGGATCATTTTTCGGATCAGCAAGAAAAGAAAAATATTTCAATTTAAGTTGCATTCGATTTATTACTTAGAGCGAAGTACTTCTTTGATACCACAGCAAATACTACTAGATTAACTAAGAAAGTTTAAACATGACTAAAGAGACAAGAGAACAGCCAGTAAAAATAAGAACAAATACACAAATTACAAGCATAGATAAATACAACAGAATATGTTACAAATAAAATTAGGTTGGTAGTATTCAAATACAGATATGTAATAATTAGGGGAAATAACACTGCATAGTATTCACTGTATAAATTAAATAATAGATTTTTATCACAGCTGTTTTGTTGTTTGATGATCGTTAATGACAGCAGCAGTATTTATAGGCCGCTGACCCTTTAAAACCTGATGCACGGATCCGATATAATGATACACATCACATCCGATTTCTTTCTCAGCTGTTTTCATTCACTTGAGACATAACTGACTGCGTTTAATTGAATGATTGTCGAGATGGGTATTTTGTCATAATTTTATGTGTATGTGTCTGTTCAGAGGATTCAGAAGAGGATTCAGTTCGGTGTTTGTGCACCGTCTGAAGTACGTGTGCGCGCTTGGTGTGTGCGGCTGTGCGCGTGGAGAACAGCGCGCGAGTGACGAATCGAGTTCCCTTTCGCCTTTTTTCTCTGGAATTGTTTAAAATTTGCTTGCTTGTGTAAATACGAACAAATGATAAACTTACACTCTATTATGGTTAAATTTTGCAATTAATCCGCGGATCACGTGCGTGCCGAACTGTGGAGCTTGGTCCGTACGGATCACGGATCAACAATGATCCGTTTAACCACTAACAATAACATTTTAACAAAAGAGTTTAGAATTTTAATTGAAATATCTAAATATCAAAATAATTAGCTATTTATCATTATTCGCCAAAAGTTTGATATCGATGCATCCCCTAATTGAGAATAATTCAGTAAAAAAAATTTTTTAAAAGACTGCCATGATTAATTATATGGTTTATGCTCTCTTGCCTCTTTTATTGTGTTTATTAAAAATAAAATGTTTTAATAGATTTTTGTCTATCTCTTTTCTAAAGGCAGACCCCTTAAACTGGCATCCTCACAGGTGAAGCCACCTTTGGCACCAAATCTAAAATCATCACTATTGAAAAAACCTGACATGAAAGGCAAAAGATTTTCCAGAACTGATCAAAAATCTGTGAGGCCCAAAATGGTTATTAAATTGGCAGCCAAGAAGGTGACCAAAAAAGTAACGGAACAGTCACAAAGGCCATCTGTGGATAAAGATGAACATTTGAAACAGGGCAGCTCAAGTAAGAGAAATGACAGGGTACTCAGGAACCAGAAAGAGGGAACATGGGTCTCCTCAAAGACAGAAAATTATGAAAATATTGATGGGGCTTTTGAAGAGGAGGAGATCACTGGAAGGTCAAAGAAGCGTGGTTCCAGTGCAGTAGACAGACGGACGAGGCAGGGCAAATTAGTGTGGAGTTTAACACTGGTTAAAGGTAAAGAGCGAGCCTCCAGAGTTAGAGACACCCAAAACCAAAGAGCTTCAACAGAATATGCTAAGACCCACAGGAAAAAGACAGAGGGAATGGCTGCTAGTGATCAGGCAGTTGCTGTATCCTCAAAACCAATGGCCAAACAGAGAAGGGGCAGAAGTACAGACACAAACAAGGAGCCTCTAGAATCTCTTGGTGGAGATGCAGGACCTTCTTTTAGTGATAGTTTGAGTTCTTCCCAAAAGAAGCCTTTTGTAAGGCAACGAAGAAAGTTACTGCAACAGGAGGAGTGCCACAAAGTACCTCACAGTCAAGGACAGGCCTCTAGCATGCCAAGAAAGAGACAGCGACTTGCTCTAGAGACAGACTCCACACATGTGCTGCAACCGGTGGAAGGACAGGAACAGGCAGTTGGAGAGATTGAGAGATCCAAGCCTGCAAGCCAAGCTGAACAGCCTAAACACTCCACTAGACCAATTGTTAGTGCTCGATCTTCTCGGGTCATCAAGGTCCCGAAGAGGTTCATGGATGATGAGCGCATGTCTGCGCTTCCAGAACGAGGTTCCCCAAAGAAACCAGCTCTTACTGAGATCCCAACAGATCTCGGGAAACCGAATATTGAGCTCCAAACCCTTCATTCCGGAAGCAAGCCGAAGACCGCACAAGAACCGCTGATCCTAAACAACGATGAAAAAGGTGTTTCGGAAAAGGTGCGATCTCAGGGCGTCAAACCCATTTTGAGTTCCTCTAGGCTGTCTGGTGGTCCTCGCAGGAGGGGTAGGAGACCTGGCCAATCTGCTGACCACTATAAGATATACTGGAAATTGAAGAAGCTCACAGCATGCCTGACAAAACGAAGGATGGAGAGAATTGCCAGTGCAAGCTCCAAACTAACAGAGGACGGTTCTGAGGGAGGGACCCTTGATGTGGGAGGAAGAAAGTCTGATCTCAAATTGCAGGACATGTATTCTCCAGGAGTGGTGCCAAAAGTAACCATACATGTTGGGGGACTCTCTGATCAGATGCCGCTTGCATCTTTGGCAGAAGGCCCTGCTAAGGAGAACGGTAGGGCTTTTTCTGTCATGTTTGAGTATTATGCCACTAATAATACTAAATTATTTGTAGACTACCTTTTATGCAAGGAATGCACCTAAAAGTGCTTTACAGTAAAAAAAAAAATGACAATAAGTACTTTACATGCAAATGCAATAATTAATATAACAAGATTAAAGATGAAGTCAATGTTATTATGCTAATAAAGCGAACAACAACAACAAAACCTCTCCATATGTTTTGGTCTGTTCTTTTCTCTTCCTCCTAATCCTGGGGTAATTTATTCCTTCAGTAGAGACTACCAGCCTTGAAGGCACCACTGAAACGACTGCACAAAGTGCCCAGATGATGGTGGAGCAAGGTGGAAACACCCAGAGAATGAGTATTTCCGGGGCCAATAAGAGGATGTTCCACCTGCTGAAGAGAGCAAGAGTCCAACTGATTAAAATCGACCAACAGAAACAGCTCAAATCAGCTCAGGTCAGAATTCAAACAGTGCTTTGTTGCATTTGTACAAGTCGCTATGTATTTGACAAGTTCTGACAATATTCATAAGATGGGTGAACTGAGTGTTTTTGTTTTCAAAGACTCATTTGAGGGGCATTCAAAAGTTTGGTGTCAGTGCAATTTCTTTTTATTAAATTAAAATTGTTATTTTATTCAGCAAAGGTGCATAAAATTGATCAAAAGTGATAGTAAAAACATTTAGAATGTTAAAAAGGATTTTTCTGTCAAATGCTGTTCATCAAAGAATCCTGACGAAAATGTATCACAGTTTCCACAAAAATATTAAGTAGCAGAACTGTTTTCAACATTGAGAATAATAAAAACATGTTTCCTGAGCACCAGATCAGCATATTAAAATGATTTCTGACAGATCATATGACACTAAGGACTGGAGTAATTATGCTGAAAATTCGGCTAACAAAGTGTCATCATAGGAAAAAAATGTAATTCTAAAATATATTCAAATAGAAAATGTTTAAATTGTAATAATATGTTACAATATTACTGTAAAAAGTCATCTTTAAAAAATATATTATTGATCAGCGTTGGTGAGCATAAAAGACTTGTTTTGAAAACATTAAAAAAAAAATGTTTGTTTACTCCAAACTTTATTTTTTGTTGTTCTTGATATCTTAGTGTGAAGAAAAAAAAATATTTTCTTCTAAATAACACTTTATTTTAAGGTGTCCTTGTTACAGTGTAATTATACATTTAAGTGCTGAATAATATTAATTAACTATATGTACTTACTAGGGGTGTGCAGGTCTAGTCGACTAAACTGTACAGCTCCTACTAGTCGACACTGAAAACAATAGTCGATTACACGACAGAAAAAAAAAGCCCATAATAGGGAAAAATTTAAAAAGTTAATTTCTGTTACTGTGGCAAAATAAAGACAGCACAGAATATGAAGAATATCAAAAGCTTGGGGATTCAGCTGTCCATAGCAGTCCTAAACCTGTTATGCATGTGTTTTGTCTAGTCGACTAAACGGTACAGCTCCTCCTAGTCGACACTGAAAACAATAGTCGATTACATGACAGAAAAAGAAAAGAAAAAAAAAAAACATATTTATCATTCAAATTACCATAATTTTATGTTACCATCAAATTACCATTGTTACATTTAAAACATTTTAAATAACAAGATAAAATAAAGCATTTGAAAAATAATAAAATGAGTTTTCTTCATGTCAGTTGTGGCGAGCTCAAAAATGTCCACGCGAAAGACGAGCAAGGTGTGGGATTATTTTGAATTAGAAGGCCGCCTCAGGTCCTGTTTTTCTTTTTGTTCGTTTTGTTTTTAGATGATATAGCCTACATGATGAATATGTTTTTAAAAGCTGTTTTAATGCTATTCCTTGATAAAATTTCCTATTGTTTTTGACTTGTGTTTTAATATGTTGGCTAACGTTATATGAAGATAAAGAATTCTGTCAGGCTATTGATTGATTTTCCATTGTTCTGCATTTCCCCAGCTGATTTTAATAAATAAGCATTGGCAGACGTTGAGTGTGTGCTCTTCTTTTTTTTTCTTTTTAACAACTGACTAAAATTAAACGATGATAACGCGGGGCAAGCGTACGGCATAATTGTGACCTATTTTTAGCGGAATTCATTGAGGGATTTGACGGTGTGATTCATAGATTAAGTATTTCAAATGTAGGCTATTATATACACACACATGCAGTTTCTTTTCTTACTATCTTTTAGGGGTTTCTTGCGTTTAGACTAGTCGGATACAAAACTTCCGTTTAAACGACATCAAATTAGTCGTAGCGCACATCCCTAATATATATATATATATCTTGTTAAGCCACTCCTGAACCACAGACAACATCAGAGGCGTCTTACCTGGGCTAAGGAGAAGAATTTGTTTTTAGATGATATAGCCTACATGATGAAGTATGTTTTTAAAAGCTGTTTTAATGCTATTCCTTGATAAAATTTCCTATTGTTTTTGACTTGTGTTTTAATATGTTGGCTAACGTTATATGAAGATTTCTGTCAGGCTATTGATTGATTTTCCATTGTTCTGCATTTCCCCAGCTGATTTGAATAAATAAGCATTGGCTGACGTTGAGTTTGTGCTCTTCTTTTTTTCTTTTTTCTTTTTAACGACCGCCTAAAATTAAATGATGATAACGCGAGGCAAGCGTACGGCATAATTGTGACCTATTTTTAGCGGGATTCATTGAGGGATTTGACAATGTGATTCATAGATTAAGTATTTCAAATGTAGGCTATTATATACACACACAAAGGTTTTTTTTTTCTTACCATCTTTTGGGGATTTCTTGCTTTTAGACTAGTCGACTAGTCGGGTACAAAACTTCCATTTAAACGACTGTCAAATTAGTCGTAGCACACATCCCTAGTATGGAGTACCTCAAGGCTCAGTACTAGGGTCGGATACAAAACTTCCGTTTAAACGACAGTCAAATTAGTTGTCGCGCACATCTTAGTACTTAGTACTTACTATACGTTTAGGATTAGGGTTTGGTTTAGGGTTACTTGCATGTAATTATGCATAATTAATTGTTATTATAATAGTAAGTACATGTAACGTGTAACAAGGACACCTTAAAAAAAGTTTTACCGACACTGATAAACATATTAAGTCTTTTTTTATCTTTGTGAATGCCACAGTACTCTGTATAATTATACTTACGATGGTGTTTATGCTCTGCAGCTTCTGTCTAACTCTGTGAGAGTAAGAGATAGATCCGCAGCAGTCATGCAGATAGGCAGAAAGAGGGGGAAGAGAGTAGTCCCAGCTAACCCAGAGGGTGCTCCACAGGTATGCTTCAATACAAAATATTGCTCTGCAGCTTTTTTAGTTGGATCGTGAGTTACCGTTATGCCCTTTTAACTCTGTAGGAGCAATTGATCGGTGGTCCGCGTATAAAGCATGTGTGTCGAGCAGCAGCGGTGGCACTGGGACAACCACGTGCCATGGTTCCCGACGACATTCCAAGGCTCAGCGCCCTTCCTCTGCATGAGAGAGAGGGGATCACTGCTTCACCTGCCGAAGAGGGTACACTCCTCTCCTTTCCTCATTCTGTCCGCATCCATTATAAGTGACAGTTGCTCACGGAGACATCTGGGCTCTTTTGACCTGGAAATTGTATATTTTGTTCATGTTAGTTACAGTGTTATTGTAATATGTGTTCACGCTGGGCTTGGAAGCATAAAATGTATGATTTCCTTTAAGGCTTTGTAAACAAATTGTAGAGAGGGTAGAATGATTTAAAAAATATATTTAATGATAAATATAACAAATGCAAAGTGTTGTAAATACAGATATTCTATTATAAATATTTATAATATTCCAAATAAAAATATTCTAAAATCTAAAAATATATATATTTTTTATTTAATGTATAATTCCTAAAATATCTCTCTTTTTGGACCACTTTCCAATATTGCATTATTATTATTGCCCACATGCATAGTATGTTTAGTATTATTACTATTATTAGTAATTTCATTTAGTATAATTGCATGCAATAATAATGTAATTCTGCATTAAACTCTTAACTTTAACTTGATATTTTGTGAAGCAGCAATGTTCTCATCATTTTTTAATATGCTAGCATGTAATGGCCAAAGGTTTTGTAATTAAGTAAATGTGAAAATAAAATTATCCTGGAGTGTGTTGCATTCATAATGCACAATACATGCAAACTGCATTGTTTGGAGGTTGTTTGGAGAGCTCACATAATGCACTACTGCACAAAAACATAAAAGTAAAAACACAAAAATCCACATTTTTGGATATATCTTTTTCCCTTAATTGAAAAATTAATTGGCAACATGTGATTGCAATTTAAACTGCACAATTATTATCTAATAATAATTGTGAAATGCCAACTTGTGGTATTGTATCTAGGTAATGTCTAGAAGGCAGTGTTCACTTTATTTCTTTCTAAACCCAACTTTTGACATGCCCAAAATGCCCTTATTCTTCTTATGTTAGATGCTTTCTTTTGCCTCTCTCTCCCTCTTCCATCTGCCCCTTCTGGCTCTTCAAGATGTTGCATCTCACTCAGAAGCTGAGAGTGAAGAATCTGTTGAGCCGAAGCTGACAATTAGACGCAGGTACGAAAGCACAGCCTTTGGCTGTCGGCTAAAACGCTGCATGCGCTGCAAGGGCTGCAATCGGCTGGTGGACTGCGGGAGGTGTGTGTTCTGTCTGGACAAGCCCAAATTTGGAGGACCCAACAAGAAACGGCAGAGCTGTGTGTAAGTGAACGAATAGTGTCAATTACATGGTAGCCAATGGAGTAAACCTTTCCCAGCTTTTAAAGGGGTCACATCATACATTACTTTTTTCCCTTTTTTAAATGTGTTTTCAGTATTTGATCCTATTTTGGACTTGTTTTTCTAATTTTTTAACAGCCTAAAGAAGTGTGTGCTGATTGAGCGGAACAAAATGGGACGATTTAACAAAGGTACTCTACTTGCCTATTTAAAATTAAAATTATTTTTTTAGCAATTCATTATCAACCTCTCAGTTACTTGGGAATGCAAAATTTGAACAAAATATATAAATAAAGTGAATCAAATGTATGTGATTTCAAATATTGCAGTTAAAACTACTGGTACCCACCAACATAAGCAGACGAAGTTGCCTTGCCTTTTGGTTATGCGTGCAGATTTGTTCATTTTATTTGACCACCTCTCTTTGACGCAGTCCAGATGAAGCGGCGCCGGCCATCAGTGGCCGCTGGCATGAACAGCAGTGAAGAAAACGAGGAGGAAGGGGGAGATGATGGAACAGGCCAGGCCCAGTTCAGCCCCACTAGGAGGCAGCCCAGACGACAAGTCACTCCTCAGTCCTACAGAAAACTGCTGGGGTACGACTCCTCTGACACAGAGACACAGAGTGTCAGCTCTGAAAAGACAAAGGCCAGCGGGACCCAAAAGACTCAATCAAGTGGTATGAATTTTATATCAACACTTAAAATGATATATTCATTGGACAGCTCTTTCTTTGTCTTGGAGTTGAGATATGTTGGCTTGATCATGTACATTGGCCAAACCAATACTTTGAACTACTTTCCAGAAGTGGCTACTTCTGTAACTGCTCAAGAAGTGGCAACAAAGCAGAAACGGCAAGGGCTTTACAGAGCTTTTTGGGCCCAACGCAGAAATGATAAGGTATGGTAACTCGTCTCGATTTTGATGATCTCAAAATGGAAAAATGTCTGACAGTTAATCAAGCTATAATCAATAATCAACCGATATATTTGGTCAAGGAATGCATCAGTTTGGGGGAAAAAAGTCCAATCAATTTTTTAAGCTCCACATTTGCTGGGGTTGTTTGTAGGGCTGTACAATTTGTCCACAAATGTTGTAATAATAAAAATATGAATAAAAAAATAAATAATATACAAATGAAAAATAATAATATTATAATATGTTGTAATTGTAGTATTTCACTGTAAAATCAAATCACATATTTGACAGTATTGTTTATTTTTTACAGGATTTGAAAATGACAACTAACTAACTTGATAACTAACTAACTAATTACTGTTTTATGATGAAAATGATACTGTTTTAATTCTTCATTCCTTTAATCCCCCCCAACTAATCCAATTCCTGAATCATCTCTGAAATGTCATCCTCTTTAACTTCTTCATTTGGTAACAAACCTGATTCATCTCATGTCTTTCTCTGTTTAAAAAAAAAAAAAAAGGCTTTTTACCCTGTTCCTAGAAGCGGTTCTTCCTGTCTTTCCACAACTACAGTATAACCATTTGTTCTAATCAGGTGTTACATAAAGTTTCTAGCATTAAGTAATTTCTTTATTTACCTTAGCGAGAATAATTGAAATGTAAATATGCACATATTGTTTTGTTTTGTGGATGCCACTGGTTAGGACAAAAATGTAGACATCAAAGAACTACTTGCTCATAGCGTTCTGCCTGGTTAGGACATTGTTGGACTAGTATTACTCTTGCCTTTGTTGTTCTGAACATCTACAGTTTTGATGGTGATGCTTCCCTCTGCTGTCTGCCTTCTCATTTCTTCTCATGCTCTGTTTTGGTTTTCCTTTGCCCACTTTTTATCAAAACTTTTTCCTGCTTGTGTTGTGGTCCCACTATAATGCTGCTCCCCTCCATATACCCCCTATTCTTTTGGTTTTTTTGACATTCACACAGGAGCCACTTGAACCATCATCATCCTCGGACCCACCAGCACCAACCCACCATCCCTTCACCCCCACAGGAAGTCCCTCCCTCAAGCATGGGCGCAGGCTGCAGTTGCGGCTGGAGAGGCTTCCAGCCAGTGTTGTGCAAGCGGCCCATTTGGGATTAGCAATCCCGCTTACTGAATGCGACAGCACACACTCACAGAAAGTGATGTGTGAAGTGGTGGAAGAGGAGCAAGCTATTACTCATTGCTCCTCTCTTACTCATTCTCAGACTTCGGTGGAGCACACTCCGTCCAGTGTTCTGACTCCACAGGTCAATGGCTGCACCCAGAGGGGCAAGCTGTCACAGGGGACAATGAACAAGATTCGTGTGGACTTCAAGGTCAGCACTGAGATTTCAATGAGTGTTCTATAAAACCAGAAGCTTATTTTTTTGGGTGTTGTGGTTAAGTATAGATTATTCATCCAAAACGCATGAAGTTTGAATGAATATAATTCAATTAGGACCTTATTAGCCATTAAAAGTTTGGAATGATTAAGATTTTTAATTTTTTAAAGATTTTATTTTGTAATAATTTTAATTGTTTTTGAAAGAAGTCTCTTATGCTCACCAAGGCTGTAATTATTTGATAAACAAATATAGTAAAACCGTAATATTGTGTAGTATTACAATAAAAAAAAAGTGAATAAACCGCATTAGCTAAGGCTATATATCTGTCTATTTATATATATATATATATACACACACACACACACATACATACAATTGTAAACAAAAAATAATAGTTTTATGTGATAAAATTTAGTGGCTTTTTCATAACCCTTTTTTCGTTTCATGAATCTTGTTTTCTGAAGAAAAATTACATGTCAGAATATATGTATAATTCCCAAAAAAACTTGACTATCACACTTTTTTCTCTCTTTTATTTTTTTATTGTTATTTTAACAAAATGTTTTTGTTACTTTATGCAGGAAGACTGTCACATCCAGAATGTGTGGTTGATGGGAGGATTGAGTATTCTCACTTCAGTCCCCATCATGCCCCAGTTTGTGTGTCTGCTCTGTGCCAGCAAAGGCCAGCATGATGTAAGATCCAGCTCTCATTACATCACTCAATACCTCTGAAGCATCACCCACACTATTTTTGTCATAACACAGTACTACAGCATGACAGTGGTCATGTCCATTTTCATTTTATGCTGAAGAACAAAAGTTGATCCTTATTTAATTTTGAGATTAATTGTTCCCTTTCCCAGATGATCTACTGTCAGATGTGCTGTGAGCCTTTTCACCATTTCTGTCTGCCACCGGACGACCGTCCAAAGGAGGAGAACAAGGAGAACTGGTGCTGCCGACGCTGCAAGTTCTGCCATGTTTGTGGCCGCAAGAGCAAGCAAGCAAAGGTGCTTTACACTTTTAAATTTAGAACTAATATAGAATAGTTATGGAAGCAGACCTACAGTTTTTTATTTGCAGAAAAAGATATATTGTAAACGAAAGAGCCATGCAAGTGTATATATATTTGACAGCAGATGTTCTGTTCTTCCCCATTTAGCCAGTTTTGCAGTGCAAGAGATGCATGTACTGCTACCATCCATCCTGTTTAGGACCCACATATCCCAAACCTGTCAAAATGAACACCTCATGGGTGAGTTATTTCCCTCCCACAGGGTGCCACATGCCACAAAAATCATAGTTTTAATTTTCTCCTAGTTTGTCACACAATTCCGTTTGTGTTAACATGTTATTTCCTCCCTACTCTGTTCACATGAAAGAAGGTTCTTCCGGGTTAAAAATGAGGTTAGCGCATGCGCTGGTTCAAAGGTGAACGCGTGGGTAAAAAGGGGGCATTGTTGTAGAGGAACGGTGTTGAACTGTGTTGCATATGTGAGCGAGGAGGAGATGAAAGTAATAAAGTGCGTAACTGATAAACGTCGTGTTTATTTGATTTAACATGGTAGCAGAGGATGGTTGAAGGATGGCAGCTAGTTATAAAGTTCCGCCAAAATTTGATGAAACCAGGCCATACGAGTGTTGGAAAAATGAAGTTAATATCTGGACGCGGGTTACCGAACTCGACAAAAAGAAACAAGCCCTCGCTGTTGCCTTGGGGCTTGAGGGGAGAGCCCGTGAAACGGCGATGGAAATACCTGCGGAGGATTTAGACAGTGATAATGGTATGGCAACGCTGATGGCTAAGCTTGACGATGTGTTCCTAAAAGAGGAAAAGGATTGCGCATATGAAGCCTATTCTTATTTTGATGGAATAACGAAGAATAGTTCGGTTTCCATGGCAGACTACATAATTGATTTCGAACAGCGATACAATCGGATGAAAAGTATAATATGACGCTTCCTGACGCTGTGCTGGCTTTTAAGCTATTGGACACGGCCTGCCTCGACGAAAAAAACAGACAGCTAGCACTGACGGCCTGCACAGAGTTGAAGTTTTCATCCATGAAGTCGGCTCTAAAACGGATTTTCGGAGGAAAAACGACAGGCTCGTCAAACGCAATACAAGTGAACCAGGACGTGGCATTTTTCACCGAACAAAGACCACAAGGAAGAGGAAATCGGAACGTAACGTTGCAAAGTGGACAACCAAAGCAGCCATTACCAGGGACTAATCCACTGGATAAATACTGTAAGAGATCCAGATGTGCTATTTGCCAGTGCACATTTCATTGGGCTAAAGACGGTCCACACAAGAAAACCGAACAAGTAAGAATAACTGAAGATGCAAATATTGAGGAATGTAACATCACATTGTTTACAAAGGCCTCCATGTCAGATGCAGAGATATTCATGACTGAATCATTAGGATCAGCGATTATTGACACTGCATGTACCCGTACTGTGTGTGCAGAGAAATGGCTGGAAAACTATATTGATTACCTCACTCAAGATCAAGTGAACCAGTTGATGCAAACAGAAACTCGCAGTTGCAGACCATTTCGGTTCGGAGGTGGGAATTTGGTATATTCCACAAGAAATGTGAAATTACCAGCTAAAATAGGACTGACAAAATGCTTAATTATGGTATCTTCACATCATCGACCACTTTACACGTTTCAGCACTGGAAACATTGTGAAAACAAAGAAGTCATCTGAAATTGTCAACTCCTTCATTTACACTTGGATAAGTGTCCATGGTGCCCCCCAGAAGCTGTACAGTGATAATGGAGGGGAATTCAACAACCAAGAAATCAGAGACATGGCTGAAAACTTTAACATCGAGACAAGAACAACAGCTGGATACAGTCCCTGGAGCAACGGACTACTCGAGAGACATAACCAAACACTCACCGAGATCATCCTGAAGGTCAAACGAGAAAATGGATGTGACTGGCACACTGCCCTTGACTGGGCCCTCATGGCTAAGAACAGTATGTTGAATGTTCATGGCTACAGTCCATACCAATTAGTGTTTGGACAGAATCCTAACCTTCCTTCTGTATTAGTTGATAAATTGCCTGCTCTAGAAGGTACCACTGTAAGTGCTAATAATAAAGTGCGTAACTGATAAACGTCGTGTTTATTTGATTTAACAGTTTGAATTATATGTACAGTGAAAATAGTAAGTACATTAAGTTTTTGTAGTGTTTTTTTAGTATGTTATTGGTCCATCGATAAAGTTTGCTTTGTTTCTTTGTAGATTTGTATGCTGTGTATTAGGTGTAAGAGCTGTGGTGTGACACCTGGGAAGTCCTCGGACACGTCCTGGAACCATGAGCTGGAGCTCTGCCCTGACTGTAGCAAACTCCATAGCAAAGGTTTGACAATGCAAAAATCTTGTCTGATTGTTTTTATATTATATTAATTAAATAACGTAATTCTTTTTATATATATTTTATCAGCCATTACTCTAGTCTTCAGTGTCTCATAACTGAATAAATTATATTTTAAAGTATATTAAAATAGAAAGCTGTTAGTTTAAATTACAGTAATATTTCATAGAATTACTTTTTTTCTGTATTTTTGATCAAATAAATGCAGCAAAGAAACTTCTTTAAAAAACATAAAAAATCGTACTGATCCCAAACTTTTGAACGGCACTATAGGACTGTGATGTCTTGAACTCTTCTAGGAGTCTTCACTTTTCAGTTTATTCTTATGAAAAGATTATTGAAGTGAGACCAGATTTAGTTTTAGATTTTAATCAAATAAACCCTTTTGTAATTATTTTTGTTGTTTTATGTAGTTTAGTTATTTATAGACTTTATCTATTTTATTTATATATATTATGATTATAATATATTAATATATGTAAAAAGGAGCGCTCTTTGCGATCTTTAGGCAATAATCCATTTAAAATGTATAACTTTGTTTTTCGGCCACACACACGTTGCAAAGTTTCGGGAATGACATCCGCATATTTATGCTGGATTTCGTAAAGGGACCAATAATAGCCCTGATATCTGAACCGGGAAAAGCCACCGCTGCAGCAGGTGGAGAGCTGATCAGACAGTGAGGGAGCTCAGTGTAATTTATGGATTCAAAGTTTGGAGAAACAATCTACATGGTAGTGTTATCATAAATATCTATATTTTGATACCGATACAGAAATATCTGACATGGTTCCATTACTCATTTTCCACAGTATCTACCTAATATATACACCGATACAACAAAGATCACACTATAGAAACCGCCTAAAATTAAGTATAAAGAAGATAAGAAAGCGGCCCTAGGCAGCTGCCTACATGCCAGGATCCGCCACTGCCAGATGCAGTTAGAAATTTACTAAAAACAAGCCTATCGCAAGATATCTGGTGGGGGGGGGGGCACCTGGGGTGGCCAGCCAGATTTCAGGGGGGGCCGGTGCCACCCCTGGCCACCACGTAGACATGCTCCTGGTCACGAGGCGATCACGTGAGGCTCTCCCTCTGGCATGATAATCTTAATAATATCTTGTAGTGTGTGATGCGCCATGATGTTCAAATCTTGTAGTGTGTGCATGTTTAAGATTTGAGAGAAGATAATCTGCAAAGATTCTCCTTATGTGTGTGCTGCAACCAGATTTCATAATCGGTTAGGATTTTAAAACTCCTGTAGTGTGAGCCCAGCTTAAGCGACATACGACGTATTGCGGTATTTTAAAAATTCATATCATAACAAAAATAAACACCGGTATTCGGTATGAACCGGTATACCGACCAGCACTACATAGTACGTTGTCTTGTATTTCCATCCTACCTTTTACTTTTTCAGATGATCTGTATGAGATCCTGCGTCGTCTGCGGGGGAAGAGTCTGGTGTTCTCCTGTGCTCCCTGCAGTAAGAGATTCCGCAGCGGTTGGCAGGACGTTGTTCAGGACGTTTTGAGGAGCGGTCTGGAGAAGATCATGAATGGATTGAAGAGTTCCCCGACCATCAGCCACCTCCTCATGTGTGCACAGGTAAAGTTTTCAGCTGCCTGTTTACTAACAGTGTTCCCTTGAAGCCAAACAATTTATCTGTTCATACTTTTGCAGTGTCCTGGTGAATCAAATGTGCTTTATGTGTGTATTTCAACAGTGTGAGGTGTGTCCAGATTTTGAGGTTGTAAAGGAGCGGTCAGGCTGTTGTCTGCATCCTGTAGAGCAGAAGCTGGAGAATGGCCTGTACACTTCACTGGTGAGATCTCTTATACATGTGAAACTAGTTATGACTTGATTTAATTTAGTTATGACAACAGAACAACAGAGAATGATTCTATGATTCTAACATTACTATATCCTTAATACTCTAATACTCTATAGTTTATATTCAATTCAAAGCTATTGGAGAACTATTGAATTTCTCAGTCTATTAATATATTTAAGTCTGAAATCACAGTTGAGTTGAGTTTTGGCATCAGTTAAACTGTTTTATGTGTATAAAACAGTAACTAAAAGCAGTTTACCCTGGTCTTTCAGAAAGCATTTCACGAGGATGTGGTGCCAGTGATGGCGGAAAGGCTGAGAAAAGAATATCTTCTAGAGGAGCAAAGGCCCACTGGTCAAGCCAAATTGTATTATATAAAGGTAGTTTGTTTTTCCTGTAAGCCTGCAATAGCTGCTGATGTTCAGCTATTATTGAGCATTTTAATGCAATGCATATTGTATGAGTGATAATTACAGGCTGTAGTTCGTCTTGGTGCATATTTTGCTCCTTTTAAATGTCTTTGTGTTGTCTTTGCAGCTAGTAGAACAAGTATTTAGCTGGTTTAACAGTCAGGACCCCAAAACATGGAACTGTCATATGCAAGAATATCCAAGGTAGGAAACCTAATGTTTCTTATTTTAATATGCTGCATGCATTCAAAGTTTGTGTTGTTAAGGTTCATTTTGCCCCTTTTGTTTCATAGCGGTATGCTCCCTGAGGCCATAATTCCCCCCAGCGATGAGCACAGTTATGCACAATGGCTCAAAGAGCAGGAGCCAGAAAACCCTCAATCAAAATCTCAAGGTAAGTGCAGTCTTTTTATCTTTATGGCTCATGCTATCCTCTTGTTTGTTTCTTTTGTTAATTTGTTTCTCATGAACCACAGATCTGCAGAATGTGAACTCTCAGTTCTTCATGGATGAAAGACAGTGCTCCCTCTGCCAGCAACATGGAGATGCCAAACCGAATGTAGGTGAAGCCTTTACCAGTTCTGTGTTCAGAGATGAGTCTCATGTTCGGCTTGAGCTGTATTGTCTTTGTATGTGTAGGATGCTGGTAGGCTGCTGTATATTGGACAGAATGATTGGGCTCATGTGAACTGCTGCATGTGGTCGGCAGAGGTGCGGGATGTCAAAGGAGCTTTGCTGCATGTCCACAGTGCCGTCGCCAGGGGCCGCCTCATGGTTGGTATAAACTGATGCAGAGTATTGTCATTTAGATAAAAACTGAACAAAAATGTAAAAGGAAAAATAACAAAATAAAATTAATAAACATTTTAAGCCCAGTTCAGGGGTTCCATAGCCATAATAACCAGGAGGTTCTATATTGTGCAGTCTTTATACCATTTTTAATCTTAAGTAATAGAATATTATATGCTTTAGTGAAATAAATGTATTAATTGTACCTTTTTTGCCAGCGCTGTGAGCGTTGTGGCCAGACAGGGGCGACTGTGGGCTGTTGTCTTACCTCGTGTCAGAGTAACTACCACTTCATGTGTGCTCGTGCCAGCAACTGTGTCTTCCAGTGTGATAAGAAAGTGTACTGTTACAAACATCGTGACCTCATAAACAATAAGGTGTGTATGTTTGAGCAAACTCAGAGGAAAACTGATATGTTTTACAGTTACTGTATAATTGAAATGTGAAGAATGTAAACAAGCTTTTCTTTTTGTAGATTGAACAAGGCAATGGGTTTGAAGTTCTCAGAAGGGTCTACGTAGATTTTGATGGAATTAGTCTGCGTAGGAAGTTTCTAACAGGCTTGGAGCCAGAGTCTGTAAATGTTATGATCGGTGAGTAAACAGGTGATGTTTTTTCCTCTGGTGGTGCATTAAAAATAAGAGAAAGTTTAACGTGTTTTATTATGTATCCATGCAGGTTCTCTACATGTACAAAGACTTGGTGTTCTGACGGAGCTGTCTGCAAATTCTGGAAAATTGTATCCAGTTGGTTACCAGTGAGTAATATGAAGTTTAAAGTCATTTAGCTTTCACTTGATCATTAATTAATTAATTTGGTGTTGTCTTTGATCAGTTATGAAAGCGTCATCTACATTTTTTTTGTAATATATTTATTGTCCAAGGAAATAATTTAAAAAAGCATCTTGTTCCTCTGAAATCAAGGTAAAATCAATTTAGCAGAACTGTGAACAATACACTAGCATCAGTTTCAGATGACATTTTAATTCCTATTTAATTATGAATTATGAGGAGCCATATTTGTTCACATAATTTGATGTGGTTTCAGATGTTCTAGATGGTATTGGAGCACCGTTGACCCTCGCAGGCGATGCCGGTACACTTGTAAAGTGACAGAGGTGCAACCATCAACACGATGCAAAGCTCCTATCTCCATGGTGGATCAGGGAGAAAATCACACAATTGTACACGGTCCAAAAGCTTACAATGGTGTGTGTATGCATATATAACTGTCTTTATTCATGCATTTAAAAAAATATATTTTTGTTAGAGGGCCAATATGGTGTGGAATCTGTGTAATTAGTGTTCATTTTTCAAAAGTTTTTTATTTTTATTTTTTATTATTATTAATTCTGACTACTCATATCTCTGTCTTATAGATGAGGATGGCACAGATAGTGAGTCCTTTTCACCTGGGCTGCCCCCCAGCACCCCCTCCAAACAAGTCAAACAAGACTCAGGGGCCGGAGGCAAGGCTCCTGGCTATCCACACAGCAGGAGACCAGCAGGGGGAATGTCCAGACCGTTACCTTCCCCAGGTAAGATCTTTGCATCAGTTTGAAGTTATGTTCATTTACCAAACAAATAAATCAAATTTTAATGTGATTCTGGGGATCAATCAGCGAAAAATTAAAATTGTCGTCATTTACTCACCTTCATGTCATTTCAAACCCATAAGACTAATCTTCGTAAGGTAATCTTCTAAACGCATTTAAGATGTTTAAATGAAACCTCAGAGGTTTCTGTCCCTAGCTTGTGAAGAGATATGAAATACAAAAAAACAAATTTTGCTTTTATTTACATCTAAACAATGATCTACACACACATATCTAGCTTATATATAGCATACAGCTTGTACCCATGTATGTGTGTCGATCACTTTTTAGATGTAAATAAAATATGTAAAAATTAAATCTGTTCATATAAAGCAATCATATCTCTTCACAAGATTTGGATTTAACCACTCGCTTCCTATGGATTTATTTTATGATGCCTTTGTGACGTTTTTGGAAGTTTTGGTTACATAAAACTTCTCAGGTTTCATCAGAAAAAAATATTTTTGTGTGTTTCAAAGATTAATACTAAATACAGCTAAATACTTTCAAAACTCTTATGGATTTGGAATGACATGATGCTGAGTAAATAATGATAGAATTTACATTTTTGGGTGAGCTATCCTGTTAAGCCTTGATTATTCATAATGAAAGTCATACATAGTTATCTTAAAATTCCTTCTCAGGAAATGCTGTTTCCACATCCCATCACATTTTGACCATTAGTGACCTTGATGAGACACGACGTGCAACAAGGAGACTTTCCACACGTAGCCGAAATGCCTCTCCTCCCACTGTGGTACTGTCAGGCCCAATGGCTTTGCGATCAGGGGGCACGATTCACCCTAGGTCACTTTCATTCAGCCCCCCTGTCTCACCACTTGGTGCAACCGAGAACTTCAAGAGCTCCACCTCACCTCGACAAAGGGGGAGGCCTTCCTCTTTGTCTCCCTCTAGCATCACCTCAGGACCCTCTCCTCCACAAGCAGCTGTACGAAGTCCCTCTTCCACCTTACGTTCATCTGTCCGCCACTCCCCAAGACATAAACAGCCTTTCAAAACCACACAGCATAAGACTGATGAGGTGGTTCAAGAGCTCTTTGCCTTGTCGGAGCCGGAGGTGGCTGCAAGTGCACCAAGCAACAGAATTCCTGCCTCATCCGACAAGTCGAATCAAGAACTGCTCTCTGCGCACTTTGATCCAGACACAGATGTGGCGGTGGCCTCGGTATTGAACGCAAAGCTTGAATTTGATGAGGCTTTGCTCAATGAAAATGTGGCTCTGGACTGCGACCCTCAAGGTGGTGAGGGAGATGCAGAAGAAGGAGCCTGCAAATTCAGCACTGGCAGGAAGGACTTGACTTCAGAGATGCAAATGGAAACAGATGATGATGTCTCTGACCATTATCTGAATTTCTCTCGCACAGTTGTGGTCCGTGAACCTGCTAAAGAATCTGCACAGGCAGGTCTCTCAGTCCTTCCTAACTCAGGGTCCATCTCTCAGCTGGATGGAGCTGACAATGACTCGGAGAGTGATACAGGTGAAGCCAACGCAGACGATGATACTCAGGAAGTAGGAAGTAGTTTTTGTAGTCAGGATACTGAGCCATTAAAGTGCACTGGTCCAAACAAGGGCAGAACCCATGGTGACGGGCAGCTAGTTTGCCCAAGATCACCTGTTGCAAATCCACATACAACAGATTCTGTTGATCAGATTTCACAGCTAGAGACTCAAAACATGGACCAAGTCTGTGAAGAACAGGAAATTCAGGAAATAACTTTTTTACAAGATGGTGGAAACGTAATTATTGATTCTGAAGTATCTAATGGACAAGAGTCATTTCCAGATGAACTAAAAGCAAAAACCCCCATCCTTTGCAAAGGTAGTGATCTTGTTATGACCCAAGAAGAAGTCTTGCTCGAAAATGAATCAACAGAATGTTTGCAGGAAGTGTTCTTGGATGACACCAGTGGGAATTTCATATCTGCTGTTGATGGCAGAGTTTTGGGCTTGACAGAAAATGCTGCTGGTCCTGTGGCGGCAACTGATTCCTCACCAGTAAACAAGGTTGAACCTGTTTTAAAGAGAGGTTTGTCACCTGTTGAGAAACCAGCGACCGCTGTGCCAATGAGTAGTACTAGAACAATTCATGTTGTTGCACCAGCTGCACCCACAAAAAGACCATACAACCGTTTTGTGACCATACAACCTGGTTCCCAACCCAAACCCTTCCATATGGCAATGCCTGTTGCCAACACTCTGCCACTTTCCTTGCCTGTCAGTGTTGTCTCATCTTCTCCCACCATTTCTGTTACAACACAAGGAACTCCGCTTGCTCCTGCTTCGGTTTTAATAAATGGTTTTGGAGCTCTGCCTAAGGAAGCCACTAAAGGTCGTAGGATCGCCATACGCATTGCCACCCCAAAACAAGTGTCTGAACAGTCTCTGCCCCAGTGTTTACCTGGAACACCCCTTACACATCAGGTTCTTCTGGTCAACAGTGCGGGACAGATTCTAGTGAAAAACCCACAGACTAATACATACCAATTAACTAGCTCTAATTCTCCCTCATACACCCAAATCAGCCAGATTGCGAAGATAATCCACAGCAGTAATGTTCTCCAGCGACCTGTCCCTAAGGTTATGGTGATACCAGTGCCGCAGGTTCAAGCTAGTCTCAGCAAAACCACACCAACGCGTATCATATCTTACAGCAGCAACAAAGGAGCAACACCACCAACCCAGGTGCTAATCAGGAGGATTCCTCAGAGTTATCCTGGAAGCCAATTACACAGCATCAGTCCTTCGATAGAAAGAACTGGCTTGATTTCTGAAAGTGGGCAGAAGGAAGTGGCCCAGGAGATAATCGACAAAGCAATGGCAAGTCATCGTGAAATAGCAAGTCCCACTGGCATGAGCCCTTCTCAGCTCCACCTCGAAAAACGCCTCTCTCCTGAATCAAAGGATTCATTCCCTGGGTTTCATCTTCGGACTCAACCCAACATCTTGTCCCACTCCAGACCTCAAGTCAAGATCAAGAGAGTGTCTTCAGTAACTGATCGAATTGGTGTGAAAAGATGCCGCACAGACTTCTTGGACCAGATGGGTCCTTGTTCCCAGGATGACAACAGCAGGTAGGGACAAATATTCAGTCAAATTTAGTCAGGGTGGTCAAGTTGTTGATCATTATTGTAGATTGTAGAGACCCAGGTTATAGGAGGGAATGTACAGCTTTTTTTTTTTTTCACATTTTAACAGTATATCAGATGTTACACAATAATGATACTGTTTTGTGTAGTAAAAGGTGGAAAAAAGTATTTACGCCCTCACTGAATTTTTTATTTATTTTTTGGCATAAAGCGACTTTTCATTAACAAAAATACAAACTTCTTGGTGGACCTGCCCTCTAAACCAAAGCCTGATTAAGACTGACTAGTCATTAACACAACTAAAAATGTCATTTTGAACATTCAAACTAGATGTTATTAATTTCTTTCTAATATTATCATGTAATGGTAATCATGCTATTTTGTTGATGTTTAGATCAAACCGGGTTAGAATAAAGGCCCCAAGTGTAAAGGATGTGCTCGACTTTGACGACCCTGATGTTGGATCTCTTGATCAGCCAAAGAACGATGAAAAGGAGAGGTCAGTGCTGATGACTTAAAATCACATTTACTTGTGTTTTACCAAAGATAACCATAATGTTTTCTTTGTCCTCTTTTTAGAATTACTCCAAATAAATCAGAGCCCACTTCGGTGCAGGGAAATGACACACGAGACAGTGCTAAATCTCAGTGTATGAGCTACAAACATGGTGATTCCTCAGACTGGGCCCCCTATGCGGGTGAATATGAGATATTGTGTTACCTTAAAGCAACATTTTAGTTGCTAAAGCTAATTTAATCAATTTGAACTGTAACAGAGGTTTTGAAAGTTAACTGCATGTGGACCTGTTTCAGGTTGGAGTTCAGATGAGGACTCTCCATCACCAGGCAAGCAGGATAAGTGTGCCAGTCAGTATCTGCCCCACCTGCGCTTCCAGATTACCAGTGAGGATGGCTTTAGCGTTGAAGCTGACAGCATGGATGGTCAGTATTGATAAACCTTGTAGTGACACAAGTAGTTTCTTCCTTTCACACTTTGGCGCATTATTATATATTTCCCTTTACGGTGTTTTTTCAGTGGCGTGGAAGGCAGTAATTGATGGTGTCCAGGAGGCACGGGTAGGCTGTCGGCTAGAGCAGTTTCCCTTCAGCAGGATAAGTGGTGCCAGGGTTCTGGGTGTCCTCCACGATGCTGTGCTCTTTCTGCTGGAGCAGCTGCAGGGTGCTTCTCTCTGCCAGAAACACAGTTTTCGTTTCCACCAGCATGAAGTACCGGAAGAAGAGCTGCCAATAAACCCCAGTGGCTGTGCCCGCGCAGAGGTCTATGTGCGGTAAGTATCTGTGAACTCGTGTATGCCTCACATATGACTTTGAGTTGTTTATTTGTTCCTTTCCAAATGTGGAAATCAAAAATTGGCTTTCTCCCTCCCCCCGCACAGAAAATCTACCTTTGATATGTTCAATTTCCTGGCATCGCAACATCGTCAGCTTCCTGAGTCAAGGCCATGTGATGATGAAGAGGATGATGTTATGCTAAAATCCAGCAGGTTAGACCCTCAGCAACATATTTGGAAAAGTTCACCCAAAATTGAAAATGCTGTCATTAATTACTCACCCTCATGTCGCTCCAAACCCGTAAGACCTTCGTTCATCTTGGGAACACAAAGTAAGATATTTTGATGAAATCCGAGAGCTTTCTGACCTCCCATAGACAGCAATGCAACTGTCACATTCAAGGCTCAGAAAGTAGTAAGGACATAATTGAGACATCAGTGTTTCAATCATCATTTTATGAAGCTACGAGAATACTTTTTGTGTGCAATATTTTATGTCCATACTACCTTTCTGGGCCTTGAATGTGGTAGTTTCCTTGTTGTCTATGCAGGTTCAGAACGCTCTCGAATTTCATAAAAAATATCTTAATTTGTTTTCCGAAGATGAACGAAGGTCTTAAGTGTTTGGAACGACATGAGGGTGAGTAATTAATGACCTAATTTTCATTTTTGGGTGAACTATTACTTAAAATTTATTTGTGCCATTTAAAAGATGATTTTAAAAAAGATAGATGAAATAAATTTCATGTTTATCAATTATAATACCAAAATAATAGATTTTTTGTAAGTATGTAAAGTCAGTGCATTACTAGTGTTGTTAACATTTTTATGTTTTTTGTGACTCATCCTGTTATTTTGACTTCCCTTTAGACGAGCCACAAGTACGGAGTTGCCAGTGGCTATGAGGTTCAGACACTTGGAGAAAACCTCTAAAGAGGCTGTGGGAGTTTACAGGTAATGCCTTCCCGAGAGATGCAGGGTATTACAGCATAAAAACTAGCTGTGTAAAATCGCTTAACAACAAATCCCATGCCAATAAAAAAGATGGAATGAACATAACTTTTAAGAGCAAAAGTAATTGGTGCAATTCCTTATCTCCATGACAGATCCGCTATACATGGTCGTGGTCTTTTCTGCAAGAGGAAAATTGAGGCTGGAGAGATGGTGATCGAGTACGCTGGCAATGTCATCCGCTCAGTTCTCACTGACAAAAGGGAGAAATACTATGACAGCAAGGTAAAAGTGATTTGTCCCAGTGTGATGCACAGTTTTTGCTTAAAGGGGTCCTTTTATGCTCTTTTATAAAGTCTTGATTTTGTTTTGGGGTGTACAAGAACATGCTCTCATACTAGGTTGTTCGAAAAACACATTATTTTTCACATATTTTACATTATTACAACGCCTCTCTCCCCAGTCTGGCTTGAACGATTCTAATAGTTCCTGTATCAAATGAAGGCCCGCCTTCTGAAATACGAAATGTGCTGTGATTGGTTAGCTGGGCCAGTGTGTGATTGGCAGCACTCGGCGCCTGGTCGGGAAATGTCACGCCCCTTACCATAGCCGCCAGCGAGCTTCAGTGTAAATATTGCGTCAAAATCAAATCAATTTGAGCGTGATTTAAACCCGGATGATTGTAACCACTCTAAGTTCATCTGCCTTGGGGAAACTAGTGTGTCTCTGACATAGTGATAACACTCGTTGCCTTCTCTAGTGCATCTCAACCTGGTCTCCTCCCACTCGTCTGTATTTGTGATATCACAAATCACGGAAAATATGTGTTGTAGTCCAAACGAGTCATTCGTTGTAGTTTCTGAAAAGTGATTTCTGTTAAATAAAATATCTCCTTTTGAATGGGACTTTGAGCTTTGTAACTTCGCAGATCGTTTTTATGCTCAAACAGCAACATTACAGACTAACTAAAGTTGAAAAAGCATAATAGGACCCCTTTAAAAACATCTATTTATCCTCTTGCATTGCAGTGATGTTGAATTCCTAACCTACTGTCTGTTTCCTGCCTCTCTTTCCTCAAAGGGCATCGGCTGCTACATGTTTCGCATTGACGACTTTGATGTGGTGGACGCCACCATGCACGGAAACGCGGCACGATTTATAAATCACTCCTGCGACCCTAACTGTTACTCAAGAGTCATCAATGTGGAGGGCCAGAAGCACATCGTTATATTCGCCCTGCGGAAGATTTACCGTGGAGAGGAGCTCACCTACAACTACAAGTTCCCCATTGAAGATGCAAACAACAAGTTGCACTGTAACTGCGGGGCCCGGCGCTGCCGACGCTTCCTGAACTAAAACCGGCATGTTTACTCAATGGCAAATGGGCGGAGACAGGAGGTTTAGGAGGGGATATTTTGGTATGGGTGGCTATTTATGAAGGAAGACACTCATTACAGGTGCTTAATGGTGTGGAGATGAATTATTCAGAAGGAAACACAATATTGAGATTGTTTGGCAGGGTGTGTGGCCTTTTTAGACCACCAGCACGTCTTGATCGGTTACCTCGCGCAAGTTATATTTCCTACCCCAACATTTAACAACCCAGTAACGTCCTGCACTGGATGAGGCCATTTGCTTTGATTCAACAATTAAAAATTGTGACCGTAAACGAATACCCTTACCTGTTTCACCTGTCCTTATACTACTTTGTCCCAGCATGCCTTTTAAATCTTGCCACTGGTGGCTGGTAATGTAGTAGATCTATTCTGGAAGGATCCTTTAGTGTCAGAATAAATGTACAGAGGTATTCATAGTGGAGGATACCCTGAAGTTTGAAAGGGTGTGATTATTTTTGCTACTGAATCAAGAGGAGTTCCTGTTATAGGTCGTCCTCAACAGCACCTTAATAATCTTTGCTCTTTTTTTGTGGAAATGTAAGCACTGTACATATTCTCCAGAACAGATGTACTTTTTAGTCAAACCATGAACAATCTTGCCACACAACCTAGTTTCTAACAGGAGCCTGTGTTTCCAGAACATTGATGTTTGTATATTTCACAGTGTTGGTTTTTTTTTCTTTTTTTTTTTTAATGAATGCAAATGAATACATCACTTATAGCACATTTTAAAACCAAATTTACCACCCTTGACTGGCACATTAATTTAAGTTAGAGTACCTTTGCTCTGAATGCATATACAGACCGTTTTACTGCATTCTGGGTCATGTACACTTTACCATTCTTCATAAGACTTCACCCGAAGCCCGATTTTGGTTTTAAGAACCCACTGTTTTTATGTGCTTTTATGTCTTGAGGCCAGTCTTTTGGGGGTCAATTGTAATATTCTACATATTAGGATCACTTGTGTAGTGTTAAAGATGTGAAGAATCCCATTCTGATCGTCAGTGCACAAGTATTTAAGGAATTATTCAAAACCATACTCATGAATGGTGGCTTTAGCTGGAAACAGCCGATGTGCTGCTAATAGCCATGTGTCGTCTTTTGATACCCTTCCTCTCGCAGCACGTTTAGACCGACTCTCATCTCCATTTGGGTTGACTACCTCAGTACATCAGTGACAGCTAGTAAGTTACAGTACAAACAGTAGTATAAAGAATGCTGGGGATAATCCCGCACTAGCTTTGATTTTATGCAGTGTGACTGTAGGAGTTGTTTCATTAGTTTGTTTTTCCAGAGAATTCCCGGATCCTTCTTCCCTCATGCTTTTGTACAGTATTGAAGTGTGCTTATTATTAAAAATGAAGACTGTGGCTTGATTCCATCACTGAACGTGATCCCACTCAGAGTGAATCTTTGTATAAAGTTGTATACAAGAATTTCTAAATCTGTTAAATTTTTCTACGCACTTTTTTTTTTATTTATGATGTTCTGTATGTAATAAAGATACAAAAATATTTGAACAAAGCAATCCTGATTTTTGTTTCAAATATTTTAAGTCAGTGTGAAATCAAAATTGACCACTGTATACTTCAATAGAGCATGTTATTTCAGAGAAAAAATGGCTTTCATTTGGCCTTTAAAAGACTTTAACTTGATTTTACCTTAAAATCTTTTTGGAAATGATGTTTTTGGCTTTTATCTGAGCATTTGTAAGGTTTAATTATTCAAACACAATGTCTATTGATTAAATGTATATTATGTTAGATATAAAAAGTTACTTCATTTAGAGAATTAGATTTACATTTCACTTATTTATTCACCATCAGCGTATATGCTAATTGCCTAGAATCATTCAGTCAGCTTTTATATTTCTATTTTAATGGTTAAATAAGATTCTTCTTTGGCATGCCTTTAATTTTATGTTAAGATTTAATATCTTGAGCATTTTTTTATAACTAATTCTGAAAAGTTACATTTTATTGTCTGTTATAGTGAAATAGATCATGCAACTCCTTGTTCATGCTAATCTCATCTAAATATGCTAGAATTGAAATTTACATGCACACTACTAATAATAGGAAGAGGCTCCTCTCTGCAATATCTGCCTTTTTTGTCCAATTTTGCCTGTGGAAAGTTGATCTGTATAGACACCATCAGTAAGAACCAATGGACAAAACATTCAAATATTAACATAAATGTTTGTTTAGTCCCGCCATGCTGCTCATCTGCCCTTCTGCCCCGCTCACTGTTGAAATGTGCACACATTTACTCTGCTGTGAACAGGTGACCATGTAATGACCCATATAAGCAACAGTCAGACAGTGAGGGCTATTTCGTATGCACACAGACTCAAAAAGGTATTGTTTATCGGTTGTGTTGTCAATAATATTCAGTACAAAGTAAACATGCATTGACTTTGGTTTTCTGAATCCATGCGTAGTGCTACCTCTGTTTTCCTCTCTTACAGCATAAAACAGAAACATGAATAAGATTTTGGCCATCTTAAGTTTATCTGCATTTCTCTGCTGCTGTGGTATAGTAATTTTTTTCCCTGTTTTTGTGGTGCAATATTTAAACTGAAACTACATTTTATTAGAGAAAAGTTCTGGATGAATTGGCTTTGTCTTTTGTGGTAGCTATTACTCATTCTGTTCCTCTGACACTGTTTATGATTCTGTCTTTGAAGGTGTGCAGAGTGATGAATCATATGCCTTAAGACAACAAATCGTCAATTCTGGGACTGTAGTCTTTGTAGACTTCCTGGAGAAAGTCAGAAACGCTACAGAGAAATTAGTGAGAGATGAGCAGTTTAGAAAATCAAGGTATGATCAGCTATGGGTTATGCACTGCTATTGAATTGTTGGTTTAGCCGTTGCCTGATCATAACCTTTTTCTATAATTTTACAGGATTTCTATCCAAGGATACATGAAAGCCTTAAGAGAGTTGGCAAAACCACTGAAAAATAGTGAGAGTGCTAGAGAGAGCCAGGATAATTCAGCTATATTGCCACAGTAAGTCTGTCCACAGTGATTATATTACCGTATAATCATAATAACATTGCTTATTCTGAGCTCATGTCAAGAACACAATTCATGAAGGTTCAAAAGTTTATATATACGCTTAATTCTTAATAAGCTGTGTTGTAATTTGGATGTTTTGTGATAGTTGTTAATGAGTTCTTTGTCCTGAGCATTTAAACTGCCTGCAGTTCTTCAGAGAAGTCTTCCAAGTCCTGCACATTCTTTGGTTATTCAGCATCTTTTGCATATTTGAACCCCTTTCAACAGTGACTGTATGATTTTGAGATTCATCTTTTTACACTGAGGACTATATAGAAGTATTCACAGTAGTAATGCAGTGTTCTTCATTTATGAAACAAATACTATTTCAGCTTTAAATAAGCTCTAAAAAGACAATAGTGTCATAGTGTTGATTCAGTTGATTCAGCAAAGTTAGTGTCATTATCCAGCTAAATTGTGGTCTCATTCAGTAGTGACAATGCAGTTAAATCAAAGATATTGCGTATTGATAATGAGTATTAATTGTCTTTTAAACCTAAATTCCAAGACAAAATAAGAGTAATTTAGACCAGTATATTTCCTCTGTGTTGCTATTGTTATAATTGTGATGTGAACTTCTCAATTCTCTTAGAATGATTAGAATAATTTTTTTTTTACCTTATAAAGTTATAGTTATCATTCTTAGTGTTATTAACTTATTAGATAAAGAACAAATTTGTATGTAATGCACAGTAGTAATGCAGTGTTCTTCATTTATGAAACACTATTTCAGCTTTAAATAAGCTCTAAAAAGACAATAGTGTTATAGTGTTGATTCAGTTGATTCAGCAAAGTTAGTGTCATTATCCAGCTAAATTGTGGTCTCATTCAGTAGTGACAATGCAGTTAAATCAAAGATATTGCGTATTGATAATGAGTATTAATTGTCTTTTAAACCTAAATTCCAAGACAAAATAAGAGTAATTTAGACCAGTATATTTCCTCTGTGTTGCTATTGTTATAATTGTGATGTGAACTTCTCAATTCTCTTAGAATGATTAGAATAATTTTTTTTTTACCTTATAAAGTTATAGTTATCATTCTTAGTGTTATTAACTTATTAGATAAAGAACAAATTTGTATGTAATGAATTTAAAGTCCAAATTTGGATCCAACAGTTTTATCTAATTTTAGGCCCATCTCTAATATTTATTTTTTTATCCAAAATTTTGGAGAAAGTGGTTTTTCATCAGCTGCAGAGATTTTTGAATGACAATAAGATTTTTTATGTTTTCCAATCAGATTTTAGAAAGTTTCACTCTACAGAGACAGCACTCGTAAAAGTTTTAAATTATGTTTTAATGGCCACTGACTCAGGTGACTCTGTTGTACTGGTACTTTTAAATTTAAGTGCAGCATTTTATACAGTTGACCATGAGGTCTTGCTTGCTTGGCTAGAACATGTTGTGGGCATCAGAGGAACTGCATTAAGTTGGTTTCAGTCATATCTTAAAAATAGATGCTTCTCAATTAATATTGGACGATATTTTACTGGGGCGGTTCCCCTGACTTGTGGGGTCCCCCAAGGCTCTATTTTGGCCCATTTATTGTTTTTTTTTTTATATATGCTTCCTTTAGACTCTATTTTTGAAATGCATGGCTTGTACTATCACTCCTATGCAGACGATATTCTCAACTTTATTTGCCCCTGAAGCATAAAAATGGTGTAGACTCCCTCTGTCTATGTCTTTCCGATGTCAACGCCTGAATGTCTTTGAATCTTTTTAATCTAAATGAGAGTAAAACAGAGGATATTGTGTTTGGCTCTTCTGAAGTCCCAAACATTTCTCATGTAAATTCTGGTGTTTTATCTTCTTTAGTTAAATCAGGTGTAAAAAAACTTGGGTGTCTTTTTCAATAGTGCACTTAAATTTGATAGGCAAATAAATTTAGTTGTCAAATCGAGTTTTTTCAATTAAGAACATTGGCTAAAGTGAAGACCTTCCTTTCTTTTAAGCACTTTGAAACTGCAATTCATGCTTTTATTTCTTCTAGAATTGATTATTGTAATTCCCTGTATCTGGGAATAAACAGTTCTTCAATATCTAGATTACAAATGGTCCAAAATGCGGCTGCATGTCTTTTAACCGGTGTTCGTAAATACGAACATTTTACTCCTTTGTTAATGTCTTTACATTTACATTTACATTGGCTCCCAGTACGCTTTAGAATTAATTTTAAAGTGCTTTTGCTTGTTTTTAAATGTTTAAATGGTCTCGCTCCCCCTTACCTCTCTGATCGGTTGTGTGAATATCATCCGGAAAGAACTCTTAGGTCTGCCAAACAGAGTTTGTTAACTGTTCCAAAGTCAAAAATAAAATCTAGGGGTGATCGAGCTTTTGCCATAGCCGCACCTAAACTTTGGAACACGTTACCGATCCATATTAGAACTGCACCAACATTACATATTTTTACAGGTGACATATCATGAAAATCTGACTTTTCCAGGTTTTAAGTGCTATAATCAGGTCCCCGGTGCATCTACCAACCAAGGAAACGTGAAAAAGATTAATTCAGTAACTTTGTTTTGGGAAGCCTTATATGGTTCAAAACGCATGATTTCAGCGTGATAAACATGATAATCAGGACCAAAACAGATGTATTTAGCAGGTCCGAGCTGTAATGGCTGCAGCTCTATTCTGGAAAAGGGGGCGGGGAGCAGCAGCTCATTTGCATTTAAAGAGACAGACACGAAAAACGGCGTGTTTCTGCTTCCACTCAAAATAGGCATTTTCAAAATGATATAATAAATGATCTGTGGAGTATTTTGAGTTACATTTACATTGGCTCCCAGTACGCTTTAGAATTAATTTTAAAGTGCTTTTGCTTGTTTTTAAATGTTTAAATGGTCTCGCTCCCCCTTACCTCTCTGATCGGTTGTGTGAATATCATCCGGAAAGAACTCTTAGGTCTGCCAAACAGAGTTTGTTAACTGTTCCAAAGTCAAAAATAAAATCTAGGGGTGATCGAGCTTTTGCCATAGCCGCACCTAAACTTTGGAACACGTTACCGATCCATATTAGAACTGCACCAACATTACATATTTTTACAGGTGACATATCATGAAAATCTGACTTTTCCAGGTTTTAAGTGCTATAATCAGGTCCACGGTGCATCTACCAACCAAGGAAACGTGAAAAAGATTAATTCAGTAACTTTGTTTTGGGAAGCCTTTTTCTGCAAGCGTCTGAGAAAACGAGCGTATCAGATTTCGCTCCCTTGCTGACGTGGCAAAGGGATCTCATTATAATATTACCGCCCCTTAATCTGCACGTTTCCACCCATGGCACCATCATTTTGATTTCGTAAGCGACAAAGGTGTACCAGTTCTAATGCCATGGCGAAAGTTTGAGCAAAACATGCTAACTGTTCTGTCTTTGGCTGCACAGACGAGCACAGAACACTGTTTAGAGTCCCAGCCTCAGAGGAG